CCCTTGCATTACTGGCATGGGCGGACTTTTAAGAGAAAGAGAATAAAATCCTGGCTACTCAGCGACTTCCAGGAAGGAGTCCTTTATATAACTACTGTCAATATTCTGGTGTATATCTCCTGAAATGGGGAGGCAGGAAGGGAGAAGGGAAGAGGAGGAGGAGGATCAGTTTAGAGAAAGGGGAGTTTAAAAATCTCTTTTTTTCCACTAAACAAACAATATTTCCCAAACATCTTTTAATGTCCACAAATACAGCCTAACACTCTTATTGCGAATGCTCTATGTGCCCTCCCTGACTGGAAGCAGACCCTACTGGGGAGACACTTTGCTCTAAATGGCAGCTCTTAAACACCCACACCTACTTGACCCTGTCCTCAAGACAGCGTGGCCTGGCTCTATTGGGCCTTTCCTGATGGCTCAGGTGGATGTATTAGCACAACCACGGCAGAAGCAGCAAGCACAGGTCTTCAGGCTCCAGGACTGAGGGGCCCTTCCCAAACTACTGGAATACTCTAGATGCCCAGCCCTTGCCATGGCCTCCTGAGGCCTTTTGGGGTTACCAGCCTCCCTCTCCCCACTCCGCTCTTTCTCAACCATAAATACAGACATGGGCACGAAGAGTCTTATTTTCCTGAAGGTGTGATGGTTTGTCCCAACACCCACTTCCGGCATCCTCTGTCCTAGCTCAGAATGGGGAATTCTAGGGACCGTGGACATTCAGGAAATGGATCTCTGTCCCATTCGTCTTTGAACTTCAAGGCAGGGTTAGGCATACACTAAGTATCAGATAATGGCCTTGAATGACATCACAATGGTGGCCTTTGAGGAACATGTCCAGGGCCTGGGGCCAGCTCTCCTTACTGCGGAGCTCTTTCACTTCCTCTTGTGTTGTGAATACGCTTCCTGGTTCATTTTCAGGGCCTGCGGCTTCGGGAGCCTGTGACCGCTTTTGGTTGCAGGCAGTGCACTCCCCGCGCCACACACAGACCTCTCTTCTCTCTGCTTCCTTCCTTGGTACTGCTTTTCTTACGCTTCTGCCCTCAAGTCTACTCACTTTTTCAGTATGGTTAACTTGTAGAAGATTCCCTCCTTTTTTACTTCATAGCTTCAAGTACCTAGCCACAGAACAGAGTTCGTTCCAGTAAATTCTAGACTAGGAACTGATGGTTTGCAATCATTAAAATCTGTGAATGTGGATGAGAGGGGTTTTGTTGTCATTCTGTTGATATTATTCCTTGGGATGAAATGATTCTAAAAGCCCAAGATTATACTACTAGTCTTGAGATTATCCCAGAATACTGGATAATCCTGGACCAGCTTGTTCCAGATGATGCGAAAGTTGACCTGCTCTAGATGGAAAAAAGGCTTTTGCAACTCCTAACACCTGACTCATCTGGTCACCCACTCACCTTGGCCAGTCCCCCAAACCAGGAAGTTAAGCAGAGGGGAAAAAACCTCGAACAAAATGAAACATCCGCTCAGCATCCAAGAGTCAGTGGAACAGAACTGAAATCTGCTGGCTTCTGTCACAGATGCACCCTGCGAGACTGTCCTGGCTCGCAGTCCACACATACTTCTCAAGCTTGGACATTGGATTTTCCAGTGCCGCTAAGCCAGAAGCAGCCATTTAGAAGGGGAGAAGCTGCTAACAGAGCAATGGAAGATGTGCTGTGCATCAAGAAAAGGAATTGCTACTATCAAAACATGTCAGAAGAACTTCTGTAAACTCACAAAGCACCACCCACATGTATTCTTTACAAGCATCGATGGTATATTAAATGGCATCTATGCTTTAAGTGGGTATAAGCAGCTGCTGGTGGTGGCTGTCGAGTGCCCTACCATTTGTCTGCGGCCAGGCACCGCAGGGCTTGAGGGTTTGTGGGCATGGACGACATGTTCAGAGCTCTTGACTGCTGTGGCTCTGGTCCCCAGGATTTGCTGGGCCCCGGCCAGGAGCTGTAATGGTGGCGGCTCAGGTTCTAGCTGCCTGGGACTTAGCCACGCTTTCCTCATCTGACCACTGGGAGGGAGGGACTCTCGGGGTGTTCATTGGTGCCCCAACCTGACGTTCTTCCACATGATCTGAATATGCCGCAGTCCTGCTTAAGCCTCCAGGCCTCAGGAGGGCCTCACAGCAGCTGCTTCTGAGCCAGAAGACACCCTGAATGTGGTATTTTTATAACCTTTTCTTGGCCCCGCCTCCTTCCCAGCAAGCTGTGATTCATCATGGCATTTATGCAGTCATCGTTTTGGAGAAAAGCTTTCAGAAACAGTGTGTGTCCCCTACAGTAACAACAGCCGAGTCCCGATAACAAGTGTTCACCACGTGTGTTTAGAGCGATGCCCAAGTGAATGAAGACAGTCTAGGGCCATGCTGGCACTTGCTTTGAGGTACTGCCCTCAAGGGAAAGATTTTATGCTTATGATCCATTTTTAAAATGGGATGTTTTTTATAAAGAGAAGAAAGTATTTGACCTCAAAGAGCAAGAAAAACAAGACTATAAACATGCTACAATGGTTGTACCCTCTCTCTAAGAGAATAAGTTGTACTAAATTCTCTTTTCTTTTATAAAATCAGCTTATTCATCAATGAAGAAACTGTTTACAGGAACACTTTGCAGTAAATTTTGGGTTTCCCCCCCCAAGACACTGAGTGACTTTTAAACTGCATAAGAGGTAGCTAAGTTAGTGGAAGAGATTTTATTCCAAGAGATCCATATTTAGCACTTTATGACTTCGGCAGCAGTGGAGAATATAAATGGGAGATTCATATCGTCTCTGTTATATTGTCCCTCAAAGTGTGGGCAGTTGACATGGGGAATTAGCAGTAACTCACAATACAGCGAACCGGAGGAATTATTGCCACAGGGAGGAGCATTCTGCTTCTGAGCGCAGCCGAACACATAGAGTCTTTCTTGAAAGGTGAGATGGAATAATGAGATAAATACTATAAAATGACAAGACCACTAGACATTTATCCATGACTTCCTAGTAGAGATTACCCACACATCTGTAGGAAAAATAGGCCCTGATTCCTCTCAGGAATTCCAATATGTGATTAAATAAAATGGGAAACAAGATTGAAATATAACATGATTACATTCCATTCCTCTCTCTCCTAACCCCCTTTACCACCTTATGGTATAGTCCCATCTCCTCCAAAGAAGCAGATGCCGATTGTTCTAGAATTAATTTTGCAACTTCCTTCAACAAGAATCCTTGTCTCCGATACACAATTCACCATGAAATATACTCATGAGTCAATGCAAACCTTGGCAACAGCTAACTTTTGAAAGCCTATTCTGTGTTCACTTTCATTTATATATTTTACCTGCTCCAACCTTCCACTTTCTTCTTCCTGCTCCCTCTCCTTTTCCTTTTCTCTGATCAAAATCATTTCTTTGCAATGATAATTCATTCTCTACGAATTCATCCCCAAAGACCAGGTTAGAATCGTATGTACTAGTGTTTCTAAATACTTACTGTGTGCCAAGTTTGGGGGCTGGGAGGGCTATAAACCCATTTCCCCCAGAGACCTCTCGTCTATCATTCAGTTTTCACACTAATCCTCTAGATAGGTTCTACTCTTATCTCCATTTTACTGAAGAGGAAACTGAGGCCCAGACAGCCTCCACAGTCAACAGTCTTGTCAACAGTCCCACAAGCCTCAGGGAAGCTGCACTCTGGACCCATGGAGCCTAAGCTCTAGCTCTTAATACTGCATTGCCTGTCATGGACATTTTCTTCTGGAATTTAATTCAGCCACTACAGAGCACCCCCATAAAAGTACAGGTATAGGCACGTGTGCACACCTTGAAGACAGTAGTTAAGCAGTCAAAGCAGGCCAGCTATACTGCCAATAGCGTCTGGACAGAGAGTCAGTATTTCCTTCATTGATAAAATATTAACAGACAACTGATTAGATAACTCTTATCGCTAGTTACAAATGGGCTTTTTACTTGAATGAAAGCAAAACGTCCATGCGCCTTACTAAAGCAGAACAGTAGAAGACACAGATTGAGCAGCTAAACCAGAGGTCCTCTTCCAGCACGGCTTTGGTTGTTTCTGCTTAGGCTGCTGGGAACACGAGGACAATTCAACTAAAGGGACAGTTAGAGCTCGGAGAAAGGAAAATACAGGAATGTGGATATTCTTGTAGGAGAAAATGGGGCTGGGCCAGAAGGATGTTGACAATGAAGGGCCGTCATGTGGGGAGGGGCTACTTTACGGGCTGGGGGAGCGTGGGCAATCAGCCCTATGATACATTTTTGTTTGCAAGAATTGAAATACACCTGTAGGTGTGTGGTCTAGCGCAGGGTACGCTCCTTGCCTTTGTCGGAGAGTTCCTTGCTTCTTGCTCAGGAGCAGTAAGACATCTGCTGCTGAAATATCCTGGATTTCATGGTTGTGCCGACACACGGGTTACAGGATGGGGCTAAGGAGAAAGGACTATGGTCTCTCTTTTGCTGGACACCAGAATGATGGTAAAGGCATAGCCGCCGGAAACAGAGAGGTCACCTTCAATGGAAGTAGAAAGTAGAGCAGTGGGGTCCGGAGAGTGTAAACCCTCAGATGGAGACTGGAGAGTGCTTTGAGGTTTCGCCAGAAGTGGGGTTTGAATCCATTTTTCCAGGTCTGAAACAACTGGCACATGCAAAGGTAAACAACAACGTTCTGCTTGCTAGAACCAGTGACCAGACAATGCCACTGCCACTTCTGAAAAGTAAAAGTGAATCAGCATGCTCAGTCAACTCATTTGCTGACTTAAAAGCAGCCTGAGGAAACTTTTCGCCTCTTGAACCCGTTATTGCCCATAATGAAAGGCTCCGTGTGCACTAATGGCAACATACAGCCTCATGCTTGAACGCAGCCTCGAAAAATTCATGATACAGGGGTTTTTCACGCTACTCAACAATTTTACTTGCAGAAACCTGATTGGTTGCTGTAGATGCCATGAATGATATAAATTGAGCCTTTAGTTGGAAGACATCTATAGGATCAAACACCCCTGAGTTTCAGACAGAAACTTACTCTGAATACGTGCATTCACAGGTAGGTGGATTTTAGTCATCGTTCGGTATCTTTTGTTGTGCTTTTCCTTTTTCTGTATTTCATATTCAGAATATGCACATGTATCCTGCATTGCTAATACTTTCTGCTCTTTGTCGATATTCAGTTAATCCTACAGATGGGCCGTGATTAAATTAGACTCTGATTACTTAAATGAATTATCCTACTTTCTAATGCCGGTGAAGTGTTTTGTCTGTTTTGTTTAAATTCTAGATCAGAAAGCACTTTTGGGGGGGGGCCCCAAATCTCACGGCAGAGCACTTTATTTACTTACCAGTTTAAGTGAAAATAATTCTTCCACAGGCTGAGATCCATTCCTTTGAAAAGCATTTTATTTAATTACTCAGCTAGAGCCATACATGAAATGCATTTTCACATTAGCTCGACTTTTAAAAACAGCAGACTGAGTGGGTAGGAGAATTCAGTGCACTCCTCGGAGCCAGCTTGCCAGGATGTGCACTGCCTGCGCGCAATTTAAGGTCTTCTGACAGATTTCAATGTTAGCCGGTAATTTGCAGTCCAAAGCAACGTGCATATTTTCGGCTGCCCTGTTTGGCTTCAAGCCCCCAGGCTCTCGTTAGTGGAATCAATACAGCAGAGCATCAAATAAAAGGAAGATGCTATTGACTAAATGTGGACTCTTAACTGGAGGGGATTCAAACTTCAGGGAATCATCAGGGCCCAGCACCGGCCTCCCCTCCCATTCAACCCCATCTTCTCCTCCGCTCCTGCAGAGATACTGCCCAAAGTGCCACTAGCCAGAACACCCAGAAAATGCCCTCTGCTTCCTTCCTCCATTTTGGCCATTGACCTAATGCCTTTTCTCAGATGAGTAGTCTTAGTCTTGGATTTTAGCAGCAGTCGTGTTCAGCAGACTGTACAAAACCATTTTCCTGCCTCTTGACTTTAAAGGTATAAAATACTGTGTACCCCGATGATCTCCTCCACTTTCAGAGCCAGCTCTGTTTTTGAAATCGTTAACTCTGAACTCCGATTAGCTTCTGCGACCCTCCAGAAGAGACAGGTGTAGGAAAAGCTCATGCAAAGCGATAGCATGACGCTTTATTCGTGTCCTTACAACTCGTTGGGGTCTAACCTAAGTGGAAAGCATCTTAATCACCGCTGCAGCCAGGACAGGGGCTGGGAGGTGGCAATCACAGAGGGTGAGGTGACCTCACGGAGGGTAGCCTCAGCTTTTCTGCTACCAGCAGACTAACGTAGATGCTATGAGTCTTGTGGAATATTGTGTCTGCTTCTGAGAAGAGATGAGAAGAGTGGGTGTTGACTTCTCTTTCAGGGCTGTCCAGAAATGGGGACCTGGATTTTATTTGCCTGCCTCCTGGGAGCAGCCTTCTCTATGCCTGTAAGTGAAAGACCCCTGCATGAGCCAAAGTTCCATTTCACATGCTTGGGAAGAAAATTCTGCCCTTTCCTTGGCAAACTTTAGGGCTGAAAACAGTACAGGATCAGATGTCCTTGAACATCTCTGTGTTTCAGAAACACATATGGAGCTTGCTGCTTTTCAAAAATGGGCTCCGGATGCTTGCCAGAGGGTCTGACTCGATAGAGCTAGGTGGGCCTCAGGAACTGCATTTGTTGAGCACCCCAGCAGATCCTGTGGACACAATTAGCTTGTAGAACTTGTTGACTAGCTATAGATGGAGGAAACTTTCAGAAGGGACACTGAAAGGTCTCCATACCCAGTGCTTCATCAGCCGTAGGCAGATACTGCAAAACCCCTGTTTTCTCTAAAACCCAATCTCTCACCAGTTTCCAAATCTCTTCTTGGCCTCCAAGAAGAGATGCTACTTCCTTTTCCTTCTGTGGTCCATCTGAGGGTAAACTATCTATCCCCGAGTCCCACCTCAAGCCAGCCCACTGTTGTCAGCGGCCTTGCCCTTGGGTGCCTCTGTTAAGCACACAATTCTGTCTGCCTGCTGGGCCCCGGGTACTGGGCCCCTGAGATGTGCCAACTGCCAGCAGCATGACCCTTTCTCTCAGACAGAGCCACACCAGTCAGAGAGCTGAGTGCTCAGGCACACAGGGTAGGTGCCACTGCAAAGCCGTGGTACAGCGCGCAGTTGATACAACCAGAAGCCAGCAAAGCTTGCATGGCCACTTCTTCCTCCCACCCACAACAGCAAGACTCTGCTCAGACTTCCGGAAACTCTGCACTGGCCACTTCCTAGTTCCAGAGGGGCCTCTGTGCTGCAAATTCAGCCCTTACTCAACATTCAACATCCCCTCTCTCCAAGGGTTCATATCAAGAAAGTCTAGAAAAGACAGTTCCTGACTAAAATGATCCACAATCAGACGAGAGCGAACAGGCCCTCTGATAAAATGCAATCATTTGAAAAGAATAGAGCCTGATCAGCTCCGTGTCTCAGGAAGAAATTCTGCTGATTCTCTCTCCCTCTCCCCCATCTAGAATGCACAATGCAGGCATCAGTCACTTGGCCTCCGCGAATGAAAGGACATTCAGTCCTGATTTAGATAATTATCCAGGTTGTTTTGACTTTGAAGTGCTCAATTCTTCTGCTGTAAAAATGTTGACAGAATCATAAAAGAATTGGCTTAGACTTCAAAACCCAACTCTTTCATTGTCTGGGGGGCTACACTATCTCCACTGCGCCCCATCTAGTTCTCCCCTTCATCGCTCATTCCCACCTAACTGCTCCTTTTGTTGCTATTCAGGTCCTTTGCATGCAATTATGTGGAGTACTAGGCACCTGCACTAGAAGGGAAGGCTTAGGAGACAATTCTCCTCTTGCTGGCACTTCCTCTCCCTGACTTGGAGTGAGTTTCATCAGGAACTAGAATGGGCAGCTAGGGCAGGGTGCCCCGAGACACAGGGTAGGGGGAGTCCAGAGACCCCTGGGGGATAAATGAGTGCTGGCTCCTGTTGCCACGTCTCCCACCATAAGACCATCACCCCCAGAGTGTCAGTTAGTTGTCCTGGACCTCTTTAAAAGAAAAGGTTTCCTCTCCTACACAGGGTGCACACTGAAACTCAAAGTAGACCTCAGGTATATTCCGCACTACATAGATTTTTTTAAAGTAGCTTTAGTCTCTCTTAATGTGAACAATTGCATATTGACTTAATCTCTTCCTTTCTCTCTTTCTCTCTCCCTCTTCATCTACCCCCTCCTCTCATCTTCTTTTCCTTTCTCCTCCCCATAAAAGCTACCACCTCATCCTGGGCACCCTGGTTATATCAACTTCAGCTATGAGGTAATTTTTCTCTTTACTCATTTTGACCATTGTTTGAATTAACAATGTCCTGAGCTCTATAAAGAACAGTGTGTTGATTCTTCATTCAAGATGCTTCTCAGCCCCTTCTATGTTAAATTCTAAATATACCTCAAACCCACATTGCCCAGACACTCCTACCTGGTCTCTCTGACTCAATCTCTTCTCTTTATGTGGCTACAAAATTGTCTACTGGGAACCGCCACAGCCAGGCCTGTCCAGTGGCGGAGCAGAAAGTGGACTGTGGCTGAGCACCTCTGCTCTACCCCAGGCATGAAATGTGGCCTCAGCCAGGATGTCATTTCAGGTGCTTCCCAACAACAGATTGAATGATGCTGGCACTCCAAGCGTCTCCCTCTAGTGTCCTCACTAAACGATTAGTGGACCAGTGGTCTAGGAGACACCCCACAGAGCAAGCGAAAGCAGAGTCTTTGGGGCATCTGCTCCAGGCTCTCCTCTGCCCCATACTAACCATGTGACCTCGGCTTAATGATTTTCTCTCTCTGAAACTTTGGTTTCCTCATCTGGAAAAGGGAAATAATTGTAATAGCCACACTTCAAAATTTTGTTGGGGGAGCAAAAGAGTCAAGAACTCTAAGAGGTGCTTGGTCACATAGAGCGGAAACAAGTTTAGTAATTGTGTTGGTTCCAAATTCTGTGCTGTGCTGAGGGGAGTTGCTAGACTGAGGCCGATGCACTGCTTGGAAAGGAGGGAAGCTCACTTCTCTCAGAGCTCATGTGATGCCCTGTGAGTCTGTTCAGTCATCCAAGCTGAGAAAAAACTGTTACTGGGAATTTGAGGCAAGATACACCTGTTACACCTGCAAAGGTTGACATATTTGCCCAGATTACCTGTCTGTAGGACGAGCAGCTATTTCGTATGCCCTTTCATCTTTTACTGCGGTATCCAGTACAAAAGTACGTAAGTTAGGCTATTTCTGCTTTGCTTCACTCTCGCAAAGAGGACCAGGAACTGGGAAATAAAACAGAATTACCATGTCCATGACCTCAGTCACACTCAGGAGCCTCTTTAATGTTCCATGGCCTTGCCTGTAAAAGCGAGGGTGAGGACACTGGCCTCAGAGTAGTGCAGAAGCATGGAAAGTGTGTGGAATGGAGCGCTGGAATGGAGCGCCTCACACACAGGAAGCACGTGACAGATGTTTTCCTGATTCTTTCTTCTGTAGTGCTATCAACTTTCAGGCTATCGACTTTGCCAGGACTGCGAAGTGAGTGTGTGAGTGAGTGGCCGAATCCACACATATATACTCTAATGTCTCCTTTTCTTAAGGTGCTTACCCCGCTGAAGTGGTACCAGAACATGATCAGGCCTCCGGTAGGTAGCTATTTTGTTCTTAGTCTTTTGAAATACTTTGTTCTTAGCCCTGGAAGCATGCCTTTCAAGTCCCCTGTAAGTGAAGCTGCATGCCTGTGCCACATACCCACACGGATGGGGATCTAGTTTGGAAAGGGCCCTACCTGTGCAGTTAGAAAGTCTTGCCCAGGAAAATGGATATTCCTATTGCTGTATTAAAAAGACAAAGCTGCTGGTGCTCCAGCTGGAAGTCAAAGGAGCCGATGGTAAAACCTGACTCTCTGTTTCTCACCAGTACCCTTCCTATGGTTACGAACCCATGGGTGGATGGCTGCACCACCAAATCATTCCCGTGCTGTCCCAGCAGAACCCCCCGAGTCACGCCCTGCAGCCTCATCACCACATCCCCATGGTGCCAGCTCAGCAACCCGTGGTCCCCCAGCAACCAATGATGCCCGTTCCCGGCCAGCACTCCATAACTCCTACCCAACACCACCAGCCCAACCTCCCCGCCCCCGCCCAGCAGCCCTACCAGCCCCAGCACGTCCAGCCGCAGCCTCACCAGCCCATGCAGCCCCAGCCACCCATGCACCCCCTCCAGCCCCTGCCGCCGCAGCCACCTCTGCATCCGATGTTCCCCATGCAGCCCATGCCCCCCCTTCTTCCTGATCTGCCTCTGGAAGCCTGGCCGGCAACCGATAAGACCAAGCGCGAAGAAGTGGTGAGTAGCCCTTGAAGTCACCGCAACTCTTGTGAAAATGCCAAAAGGAAACTGACCCCCGAGTTCTGAAGCAACCCAGGGGCTAGAGTTTCCATAGCTACAGGCCAATGAGTATTTGTCCAAGCCCGCACTTATATTGTAACTTTAAATGATGCAATTTGTCTAATGACATCAAGGTTACAACTTTGTAAGTAAATGAGTTTATCTACCGAGCTCAGTAGTTAGGAACACAGCTTTTAGAATGGGCTTAAATCCTACAATATTTTGAATTTCTACTGTAATATATATACCTGAAATGCATTAATTTTAAGGGCAACAGCCTAAGGAACTATCAGTTCAACAAGAATAGGCTAACATTGCCCTGGAACAAAAAAAAAAGGAGCATATTGGAGAGTGAGGGGATGCAAAGATTTGAATGGGCTACAAAGGCAGGTGGGAAATCTTTTTAAAAATCTTACAGGAAGATTTCTTGTCTGAAGTGATGTTTTATTAAACGTGGAGGAAGCTAAGCTAGACAGACCAATAGATTCCTTCTCAGTGCTGGGACTCTAGATTAACTTTCTAGCAAGAAGCTTCCATAATTACACATGCAATCCTCTACCATGAGAGAAAACTCTTCCAAACGAATGGGGAATGGTCGATAAGACAAAAGGCCCTTATCCGTATGCATAACACCGTAGCTCTGTGTGTATGAGAGTCTGTAGTTCTACTTTACGTATGTATCCACATGTAATTCCAGGTTATAAATGCTATTGATAATTTGCTTCTGAAAAGCAGTAAGGTGGAAATGACCTGGAAGGGGAGCCAGGACACCAGGAATCCAGTGCTAGCTTTGTCCCCAAATGAAGGTGGTATTGTACAAGTTACTTCACATTTATGAGTGTTTTCCCTTGTTTTAAATAAGAGAAAGTCACTATATCAGATAACTTTCAAGCCTCTGTCCAAGTACAGACACCATAGTTTCCCTGTAAAAACAAACAAACATGATACTATCTTTTATATATGGTTTCATAATTGGAATATATTTATGTTCATAGGAAGTTTTGAAAATTGATTGTATCTTAAATAGATTGTGTCTTAAATAACTTGGTGCCCAGAGTTGATTATTCTAGCCTAAGGGACATGTCCCATTTTTGAACAGAAAATGCATTTATCTCTTTATTAACAATAAAGGCCATGAACTTTACAATGTGTTCACATCTTGCCAGAGCTATTTATGGAAAGGTGACTTCAGACACACAGTTTGAACCCTTTAAAATTCCTGTGCAAAATTAAAATATTATACTGACAGACTCAGAGTTACTTTCTGGAAAATAAAGAAGTAATGAGCTCAGAGCCTGCTATGCAGCAAGAACACAATCAACGGTAGCAATTGTGGTCTTATTATTCACTAATAACTTGTAAGTGTCAGGGAGAGGGCCCCCTTAGGGCCCCTCACATCTAAAGAGAGAGTGATGACAAAAATTTTGAAAATCACAGAGTTCCACTTAAATGGCTGTACATTGCTTTGGTAAAACTGAAACTATATGTGTTACTGTAAATGGTAGTAACGGGACCATCTGCCGATCATTTAATTGTTCCTTTCCTATACTTCCCCAGGATTAAAAGATCAGAAAGCAAGAGGACAACAGAAGTAGCTGTTTCAGTTGCTTTCATAAAGACACAAGAACATAATGATTTGTGTCAACCATCACTTTACTTCGTAAATTCTGTAACGAAAAACGAGTACCACTAGCAAACAATAAAATGCTTTAAAAATCATTCCTTCTCTGTGTTGAATTCGACTTCGAATTTCTCCTCACACAAAGACCACATTATACAGGACTACACTTGGAGATGCAGAGCCTGCTGGTGCGTGACCAGTAGATGCCCACTCGGCATGCAACCGAGGACTACAGCCCCTTGCTTGGGGGACGTTTACTCAGAGTATCGCGAATGGTAAACAATGGAAGTTTAGGCATTACTTCCAATCATTGCTAACATGAAAATTCTGTACATGTATAGTCACCGAACCTCAGACAAACCAAGGGAAATTTCTATGAAGAACTTTGCATCGAAAGATAAGCTCTTGAAAAGTATTTATACTGCAAAACAAATTAAGACTTGAAACACTGCTGCAAGCTTTATACCACATTAGTGACCAAAATCCGGTCTTTTGATCTCATCCTACTGAAAAAAGACTTTTCTAATGAAATTATGTGATGTACTGAATTTTAACTTATCAGAGTAATTATTTTTCCCAAATAATCTTTTATTAAGTGGGTCTTCAAATAGAATCTCAGTGATTGTATATACAAGTCATTTCTTTTACTTCATAATCTTTAGCATGATAAATTCTACTATGCAATCTTCAAAATGGTAACAGATGCATAAAAGGGACTCAAAACAAGTTTTCTTTCCCACTCATATTTACATTTGAACCTTTTTTTTTCCTTCTACACCCACACAGAATTGTAAACAGTCTTTGCAGGGTTTATATTACAAAGCACCCACAGTAACTTTAGTCCAGTACCTTTAGGATGAAGGGCCCTTAATCATTTTCTGGAATGAATAAACATAACTTTACTCAGAGGGTGTCAATATTCAAACAAACAGCTTAATTTTAAAGAACACAGATTCAATTAAAAAGGTAACAAAACTTTTAATAAACTAATGTGAAACAATTCTAATCAATTAAATAAATATTTAGTAACCATCCTTGAGGGCAAGGCACTTTTCCATGCCCTGGTAGAAGTAGTAATGCCCATCCTTACAGAGTCCAGAACCCTATAATAAGCTCACAAACAATAAGGGAAAGCCTGATCGTGTGACACAGTGACAGAGGCAGAGGCAACGTGCTGGGGACGATGGCGACATCATCACCTAGCTGTTGTCAGAGCTGGAATTCAATCCCGGTACCTGGCCTTCCATGAACTCAGGAGAGAAGGTCCCCATTCTCTGCCACCCAAAACCAATCAACGCTTACTCCTCCATGCCAATGACCAGACTCCCTTCGCCAGTGGTGGTTTTAGGGCTGGGTCGTGGCAGATCTGGACAAGGAGTGAAACTAAAAGGACATTTTCTATGAGAAGAGGGACTGCTGAGGGGAAAGAGTGCTCCCCACCCCTACTCTACACACACACACACACACACACACACACACACACAACTGATGCCACTCGGAGTGATACTGGAAAGACCACAAACTTTGAAGTCAGGCTGGGGCTGCTTTCAATTTTTCTGCTCTAAGAGGATTCTTTATGTGAGGAAGTCATTGATAAAACAATTCTCCTTTTATAGGAATTCAAATTATAGGCACATGCCCCATCAAACCACATTCTTAACATACAGGAAACAAGTAAGGCTTTTCTCTTCACCGCTGGCTATGGAATGAGAGGTACTACAAACAAGGGGGTGACTAGAACCTGAAACTTGTGTCTTAAATTCCCAAGCATGTGCTCTTAATAGAATCATTTCATGGTTGTCTTCTACAGTGCACATAGTTGCATTCACTAAACAATGCATATTCATCACAACTTAGCATCTTTTCCTGCCCAGAAGGAGCCAGGAACACCCGTCATGAGGTGCGTGGCCTTGGCAATTTGGAGGCAATATGGCTGTTGTACCTTACCCTAATTCTTCCTTTCTGACATTGGCTAACGTCTATTAATGTGTCTTCTGTAGACATATTCTGCCTAACAGCGTATCCATAAGTTACATGGCGTTGAGGTTGTTATTCTGGAAGCTTCACAGCCAGCCACCCTGAGAGTTTCTGACGGCGCAGATGGCTGCAGCTGACAGAATAATGACAGGCAGATGCGAGTGGCTGGCATCACGTAGTGCCATGCAGGTGATGAGCACTGAACACAGCAGACTGTTTCTGATTCACTGGAACTCAGGTTTAATTAGCTGTCCACTGGTTTGTATGTTTGAACCAAATATGGAAGAAAATCAGGAAATACTCATGACTAAGACTAAAAGTCCAGGCTGAAACAAATAGCAACCCTGACCTTGATATAAACCCAAGCTTAGAGCTAACGAATTCTTAAATCAGTGAGGGAGGCAGGGAGTGCTACAAAGCTGTGCTGTGTCTTTAAGGTGAAGCTAAAGATGGAGTGGAGCAAACCATGTCACGGAAGCTCTCACCTCGCCAGGACCACCCCGTGTCGCGAATGCACCGCTCTCATCTTATACTCTCACTGTTGGTGAGGGGTTCGATATGTGTAATTTCCCCCTGGGGAATAAATATCCATCTAGGAATTCAATCAAAAAATTTCAGGCTAAAGCCCAGGCATTCCAGGAAGCATGGTCTTGGAAGGGGATTTTCTAAGAATGGTTGAAGTGGTCCTCTTTTCCCTTGGTTGAATCACACACATCAAAATGGTTTTCCTCTAGGCTTCTTTTAAAACAGATGAACACCGAGTTCAAATAAATCAATTGTTCTGCTTGACAGAGAAACTATTCTAGTTGCAAAGGAGTTTCCAGGCCCCTCCCAGCTGCATTTGTACTGGTGGTGGGGGCTGACCTTGACTTAGAGCTTGGCCAGGAATAGGCCAAAGTTAGAGTGATGGAAAGATAAAAAGAAGAAAGAAAACTTCAAACTGTTGTCCATAGGCAGCTGACTGCCTGTAAACAACTGAAAATATTTACATTCTTTTCTATTTTGTGGTTCAAACCACCAGCGTAGACATAGACACACACACACACACACACACACGCCCATGAGTTTACCTGTAGCAAAAGCACATGTGAGGAGATATATACCTTTTAAGCTACTTGAAATTTTAAAGAAAATTTCTTTACTTCTAATTGTCTAGAGACTCCATGGCTATTAGATTCATTATCACCACCGAGGCACACCTCACTTCTTCCAACAGGACATTCTAGCAAAAAAAGATGAAGTTTTTCATTTTCTTTAAAGCAATGCAAAATGATCACCTCCCTCCCAATTCCACACAAAATGAAAATAGTGACCACTCCCCTAGATCTCAGTTTGACCCTGAGTAGTAAAAAATTGCTGACAATACCAAGATTGAATTTCATGTCAAGAATTCAAAAAGAATATGACATAGCAAACTGCTCTACTCATTTAAAAACAAAAACAGAGCAATCCTACTGTGAACAGCTTAACATGGGACTCACAAGAGAAAAACAACTTCAAACAATTTTCCACATTTCCAGAACACAGCGGCCTCTAGTTGGGTTCCATATTGCTTTAATAAAATAGTCATTGGCCTATGTTTATTGTGCAATTCTTATTCATTAGAGTTTTTACTTAGTGTTTTGTGATTTGGCTTCTAATTCCTACTCCCTTTGATCTAGAGTCTTATCAGTCATGGCCACTGGTTCATGTTTAATTATTCAAAGATACTTCCTGCCTCAGAAGAGTTCATCCTGGCCTCATGCAAAACACCTGAATCTTCTAGATGACAAATAATACTCGGGAAATAAAATGGGGCTGGGAGTCGCGGCAAGTGAAGAAGCGGAACAGAAAAGACAGGGGTGGTCATTTGGTCCCCAATCATTTGCCTCAATAAATCACACCTGCATATTCAATCAAAGAATTAACACCAAGTCAAGCGCCTCACAGTGCCAGTGCCCTGAGGTTAACAAAACCAGCCCAAGGGCTGGCATTATTTTCTTATCAATCCTTCCCAGCCCCACATTTTAACAGTGTTAAGTACCTTCCTCAGAACAGTCAAATGCAGTTTTCCTCTCTAAAGAATTCTCCAAACTGAATTTGTGGAGTGTGGGCTGTGGAGTCTGTGTCCGCACAAAGGCGGGAGCTCCTGGTGTGGTGTCGGGCAGGTGGGAAACACTGGCCCGGTTCAGTCATAACCTTCACCTATTTGCTGCGGTGACCGGGACAAGTCTCTTAGCTTCGCTGTGCCTGTTCCTGCATCTTCAAAGTACACAAGCATTTGTTTCAGAGTCTTCATGTTTAAGCATCCCAAACTCAGTAAGTGTTAGCTATGGCTCTACACCCAGGAAGGGTGCCTTCTCCTGGCTCAGTAGACCTCCAAGGGAGCACTACATAGCTGTAAGTGGGCAGTGCGACATTTGGACATGCATGCCCTTTTCTATGCCAAAGGCTCAAAGGCCAAGCACGTGTGTTATCTGTCAGTGTGCGCCTCTGACAGGCGTGTGAATACCTCCCACACCGAGGGCCATTCTGGCGTGCTTCCTCATGCCCTGTCTGGCTTCTCCAGACACTTCCTCTCTACCCGCAAGGTCACCCCTTCCCCTCAATTCCCCAACCTGAGGGTAATTAGGAGAAGAAATCTGCCAGGGAGGGTGTCAAGGGCACCCTTGACAGAGGGCACACCGAAGGCCAGAGGGTGAGGACCTCCCTCAGCTTGTCTTCCTTTTACCTTCTGCTCAGACTGGAGTCCCATATATAGTGACTTCCGGCTCGAATCTTCCTTGTGCTGTTAAAGGTCACAGCTCAACTAATTCTACCTTAAGGATATTTGTAGCTAACTGTTTCCTCCATAGCAGTGGTCTGCAACCAGGACAGGTGTGTCCCCCAGGGGACAGTTGGTGATGTCTGGGGTCGAAGTGGGGGTAGGGATGACCTGTAGTGGGGTGAAACCAGGGATGCTGGTATCATAATATGCCAGTAATGATGCTGCAACATTTTGATAATGATACACTGAACATTTACGAGACTCTTGGATTCCAGGCACTGTTCTAAGGACATGATATATACGTGTTCATTCAATTCTCACAGTCCTAGAGTAAAAAGTGTCTCTATCCCCATTCTTAGGGATGAGTTGTCTAAA